GTTTAGGGTTTAGCAGTTTAGGGCTTTAGGGGTCTAGGGGTTTAGGGTTTAGGGGTTTAGGGTTTAGGGGTTTAGGGTTTTAGGGGTTTAGGGTTTAGCGGTTTGGGGTTCAGGGGTTTCGGGTTTAGGGGTTTAGGGTTTAGGGTTTAGGGTTTAGCAGTTTAGCAGTTTAGGGGTTTTGGGTTGTAGGGTTTAGGGTTTTGGGTTCAGGGGTTTAGGGTTTAGTAGGATTCGAAGCTGGCCTTGTACGCCCCTCCGCAAGTGCCGCAGCTCCTGGTGATGCAGCTGGTGCAGCCCGGAGCAGTGATGCCGGCTCCGCACCTCAGGGTTGAGGGTTTAGGGTTTAGGATTTAGGGTTTAGGGTCCAGGGTTTAGGGTTTAGGGTTTAGGGTACTTGGAGGTTCATGGGTAGTTATAAAGGGGGGCTGTAAGTAAGATAACTATACTTATACCCATATTAAGGGACTTATAACCCCACTTATAACTACCCACGAGCCTCCAAGTAGGGTAGCAGCATTTTTGTTGCGACAATTCAACCGAGAGGGATCCGAAAATGAAACCAACCTAGGAGGATCCCCAACATGTCCCCTTGCTAGGGATCCTACTAGTTTGGGCTTTTTCTCGGACAAAATTGTGCTGAGGATCTGCTAGGGTGGGTTGACTTTAAATTTTCGGATCCCCAAGGTAGGGGCCTTCATAATTACAATCGGGTTTGGGGGGTTCCTCGATTTTGGGGGCCCATTATAAGACAAGTATAATAAGGAACCCTCCCAAAATAGTATTGGTAATTATTGAGGCCCCTACAGAAGCCTGAAGGTTTCACAAACCTTTTGGCTTGGAACCCAGAATGGTAAGCATTTAGGGTGCATTACGAACCCTAAGACCCTAACCATAAACCGTCCTAAACCCTATGACTTGTATTCAGACCATCTTAAACGCGAAACCACTAAAGCTCTAAACTGAGCTGGGCACTGCGTGCGGCATGAGCGGTATGCGCAGACAACCTGAGCAGCGGAGGGACGAGAAATCGGCTTTAAAGGGTTTGAGGTGTAGGGCTTAAGGTTTAGAGCTTAGCACGTGTAGGATTGTAGATGACATGCACCCACTTGAAGCTTCATGATCGGTGGCCAATTACTTGCTCTACATAACATATGGGAGTTTCCGAAAGTAGGGGACCCTAATATAGTACCCTAAATAGTAGGAGCCTTGTTATAAGGGCCCCAAGAGAAGGTACGCCTAATTTTCGGAAACTCCCATATATTCTCTAGCTGCAAACAGAAACCATCCCACAAAAATGGGCTCCTGAGCTAGACCCTTGTTCAAGCACTAATGTAGGGGCCTTCATAATTGAAATAGGTTTTGGGGGTTCCTTCTTTCAATTATTATTGTTGCACCCCAAAACCCTATTCTAATTATTATGATTATTATGATTATTATTACTACTATTACTACTACAA